TTGAAAAACTAAAAACACCATCTGGATATTTAGTTTTTTGGCCGCGAATTGACAATAAATACTGAATTACGGGTATTTACTTTTTTCGGAAGTTGTTTATTTCGGCCTATTACACGGTCTCTGAAAGAAAAAAATATTATCCCGAATTTTACAATTTGTTGGTTATTATCAAATTAAAAATGAATTCTCTACCTTTATTAAAAAAGGTTCGACGATGATTCCAGTAAAACACAGTAAAGAAGATTAGCATGATGCCACGCAAGAATAAGCAAAGTTTGAATATTCTTTATCGAAATTTCAGATTTTAAATTTGTTTTTATGCTGTGTCGAGCCGATTGTGTAGGACTGGAAATAACCTGATTTAGAACAGTAAGGTTTGATATAATAAAATCTGGCAGAACAGGATTTTTTAGAATAACAGGATTCAGCCAGTGTTCCCTTTGTTGATAGGTAGAATTTAAATGATCAAAAAAATTATTGTTCGACTGCGTGTATTATTTTGCGTTATGGGAAAGACCTTACTTGAAATGTAAGTAATATAATTTAAGATGTTTAATTAAGAAATTCCAAGAAGAGTGTCATAAAGTATGTATTGAAAAAAAGATTGAATTTAGTTCACTCAAAATCTAGTATAGTAAAATTGAGTTACTCAGAAGAAATTTTCAACTACTTTTCTTTAAATTATCGTGAAAGTTAATTTTAACCACATTATAACTTTTAATTAAATCATGACTAATATCCATCTTCAGATGCTTTAATGTAGCAGCCGCTATGGTTTCGTATTTAATAACCATTTTTAAGAAGGAAATAAATTACGTATATAATACATACATATTTTGTAATTTTGGTATTACTGTTTTTGTAAATCTGAATTACAAATTTATTAACAACAGAAATTACAGTCACTTGATTAAGTTATATAAATTTTAACATAAACATATACAGGGCCAAATATAACTTTTAATGGAATTCTAATAAAGATAATTATATCATCGCAAGGTAAAAGCCAATTCGAAACTATATAGAAATTTATGTTGAATTGGTATTCCGAGTGTCAGATCTCTATGTTAGGATATTATGTATAATAAAAGCAAATTTTTAATAAACATCTGTCCTATTTTGCTTAACAAAAACCTATCGAAGGTAATTTTTCTTCCGATTACTTTCGAACGGTTTAATCTCCAACTTCATCAATATTAAATATGCATGAATTTTTTGATGCATAAAATAAATTCGATTTTACATCAAAATCATGTTTATAGTTTCTAAAAAGTTTCTTTTTATTTTACCTAGAGGGGATGTAGAAATTACTGGAAATCGATATCTACAATATACAGATATTACTATGGATAATTACGTGCTTTTGTCAACACAGAGAACAAGAATTTTAAAGAGTTGATGAAATTTCTTTCTTAACCATTTATAATTTTAATCAATAGTTCTCCTTGTGTCTAGGCGTCGTTCAAAAATTAGTCCATGTCAGTTAAAGCTTAGTATGCCACATTGCTTCTGCTCGAAATATCCCGATATTGTGAAAGAATTTGAATAAAAACCACGATGTTTTTCGGAGTTACAGTGATAGATGTGTTTATTTTATCTACGAACACATCTGCACCACGACCCTGAAATCTAAATAGTTAAGGATATGTATCAACAATCCACTAAGCAGGTGGATGGAGCTTACATCAGTAAATCTTTTTGATTCATAGTTCGTTTTTGAAACGAACTATTTTAATTGAATAGCTTAACATCAACAAAAAGCATTTAAGCTATGAATTCTTTGGATTTATTAGAGTTTTGGAAGCAGGCCAAAACTACAGGCTGTTGCATTTAGGCAATCCGTGTAGCCTTGAAATAATTCAAGTTCAGTTAGTTTGAAAAGTCATTCTTCCGATGTAACAGTAATGTAAAATCAGCTGCAGCATAGAGTATTTAAGGGAATTAGCAAAGGTGGTGATGGTAGCTTTATGTGTATTTGATGGTGGCTCGGTCGTGGATTGATGGAGTTCGAAGTAAAATCACAATACTGTTTGATCTTCATTGAGTTACTGATACTCGCATTAAGTTCTTCTTTATACCACCCTTGATAAACCATTCTGTTTGAAGAGAGTTCTTATCAAATAATGCGTGTGTCGGTATGATTTTACTTGCAAGGGTCGATTCGAACGAAATCCTGGGTAGATCTTATTATTTATTACGAATTTTGATCAAAAATACTTAATTATTTTTAAAACCATTGTGACAGAAATTGGATATTATGAATCTTGATATATTTTAAAAGATAAGGACTAAGATCTTAAAATAGCAGCTTTATTATTTTTTATATTTTGTAGAAGCTAAATGAAAATTTGTAGTATTGGGTTACGTTAAAAGAATGACCTAATATAATACTGCTGCAGATGTGAAACTCAAAGCGGATCTATTGAAAAAAAAAGCCGACGCTGAGAAAGGCTGCAGGCTACAAGAATCAGAGAACAGAGCATCACATAGAGTTAACTAAGAATAATTCGCGAAACAATTTAGGAGATGTGGTAGCTGTGACTAACTGTCAACATCCGAACAATAAGAAAAAGTCTACAGCTTGATTACCCCCTGAACGTAATAATAAAAATATAAAAGCCGGGATGAGAAACATATGTGGAAAAACTGAAAAGCTTTGTCCTTCAGTGCAGATAGGACACGTAAATATGTGTTACACGCCTCAGTACAATAGTAAAAAGTGTTAAAAGCAACTCTTCCATTGCGGAATTTCGTTTGACTCTTAATAGCTGTTACGTTTACTATGTAAATTTTGAATAAATAAAATGTTTTCAAAACTTCTACAAGTGGTTTGAAAAATGTTAGATAATTTACGATTAGTTTAATATTGAGCCTTGTGTGAGGATTGTATATTAAAAAAAATAATCATAGTATAGTGAATAAGAGAACGTCTAGTTAGATCAGGTTAGTTGTATTTTCGGTATATGGATGTTCAATCTTTTGTTCGACATTCCGTAGTATAAATCGGTTAATACTCTCGTTATAAATATCCTGTGCAAGCAGTTCTGAGAAATAAAAGTAGATTACTGAGGCATTAACATTGTGTATCTGACAAAAGAAGAAATATATACATCCTGGGGGCATGTCAGATTTATTAGTATACTTTTAAGGTGATATATAATTTCTGAGAATCAATTGAATTCGATGATTCAAAATTATCATTTTAGCACAATTCGTGTTAGTCATACTGAATCACTTTCTCGTAAAGATTCAATTAATAATATTCTTAGCCGTCGTCATCAATTTTTTCGAAAGCATAAATAAACAAATTTTAATTGGCATGATAACCTATAGGAACACTTAAAATTTCTAATTACTCAATTCAAAAATGGGAGCTTATTAGATGACTAACAAAAACATCAACAGACTGATATACGGAAATGAAAAACTTGCATGTCCGTATTTTATGAATTATATAACCCCAAAAAACGTATTTGTGTTTCTGTTACAATAACTTTCGACTATATTGTAGAGTACTATACGCAAGGAAAATGAGAAAATACACACAACTCAACTGAGTAAGTTTCTCGCGATATCGTTTTGTTTTTTAGTTGTGTGAGAACGCATACAATGAACACTTTCCTTAACGATCACAGAAAACGATATTGTTTGGAAATATGTACAGAAAACAGTGGCTTAAAATACAGTTTTAATTGTTATGGAAATTCATTAAAATTTTTGTACTACGAACTGAATATCAAATACAGACAAGCACTCGAATTGTTCAAAGAACAGTTATCTCAAAGAGAGTACCTTTAAAATACCAAATGAATAGTTTTTGGGCCATGTATGGTAAATCTTTTATAAGGTACGATCAACAAAAATCGTTTTCTAGTTAGCAGTGTACGAGCAAGAATGTTTTCGTCGCTTGCTGTACACAGCGAGGGGTGAGGACAGCCGATCATCCTGCGCCAACTAGGGGACGATTTTTGTTGACGACGTGCTGTTACGACAGATAATGTTTCTCAGTTGATTAATCATCATTTTCAACGGTTTTTAAAAGAATAAGCCAATTATAAAATCGTCGTATCCATAAAAAAGTTTATATTAAATGGAATTGGTTAGATATCTTTTAAATCTAACTTTTAAATGTCCTAGAAATCTCAATAGCTCTTTTTTATTTGCAACGATAGTCCATTTCTAAAGAGTAGTTTAGAAAATATTATATATTAACTTCAGTCTTTTCAAATTACTTTCTGTAAGAATGGAGATTTAAAGGAAGAAATTTTTTTAATAAGGACAAAAAACGACTTAAAAAATATTTTTGATGGTATCAAATTAAATCTAACTCTCGTACAATTGTTGTGGATTTTGTAGAGTTAAAAATACTTGATTTAGCAGTCAAAAACGAACTGGAACGCGTTGGAATGAATTTGCTCAAAGTTGTATTGTTTTTCTAAAAATATCATAACTACTGACTCTTATTACAATCGATTGTAAAGTTGGTCAAAAATTTTGTGTAACATTAAACATTTAACAGAGAACATTTGTTCGATCATATATAAGCGCAATGAAAAATGGCCATATAAAAAGGCCAGACGTGCTAGTAAACCGAACATCGTCGGTTAAGCAAGCTTGAACAACCTGTTAAAACGGCAGTGAGTAATGACGAAATTAAAGGAATATTTATCTAAATCTTTGTCTTGGAGAACTATCTAGCTCTTAAGGGAAACTGTTTAGGATGTAATCCGATCGTATTACAATTACTTATTATAGTTTTTGTAATTATTAGTACCCACTGTTACGCTGACTTGACCTTATGGAAAAATCTTTACCGTAATGGTAGAAATCAGGCAATCTTATGAATATCGACAAACAATGAATTTCGATGAAGAATAGAATGTAGCTAAAGAATAATTCTTTATTGCCTCTTTCCATAGTCTCTTATTAAAGGGGTCTGTGGGACTCGGTTCCTGGCTGAGCCATAAATATTAGATGCGCGGCGTTTTGGTGGCACTGACCTGATTTTCACTGCTGAGTAATTTGAGCTGGTCGTTGATGAGGCTGTACTTGGCGGATTCCTCTTTTCTCAGCGCCCGTTCCTTCTTCAGCTCCGGACTCCAGAAGGTTTTAATGGAATGCATGGATGAACCGAGTTTTTGATTCGTGAGTTCGAGTTCCTTCTTGAGGTTGCCGAGTTCCCTCTGGAGGTCCGAGTTCTGGTGCTGCAGCTCCCCGATGAAGGGCTGGTGCGAGGTGGGCGACTGCCTCGCCGACCTGGTGCTGTACGGCTCGTCGTCGAAGTAGAGGCCGCGGTCCAGGGACCTGTCCCTCCGGTCCCTGATGGGCAGGAACTCGCGCTCATGGTCGACCGTGGGCCCGCGGTCCAGCGACTGGTACCGCACCGACATGGGGTTGGCGGGCCGGGTGGCGCTCCGCGACCGGTGGTGGCCGGGGCCCACGGTCACGGGCCGGCCGCGCTCCTCCAGCATGGGGCTGCCGAGGTCCTCGTCGCGGTAATACGGCGAGTGGTGGTAGTAGTGCTCCGGGGAGTTGTTACCGGAGCGAGTCTGCCGCAGCGGCTTGCGGCCCAGGGGGCTGCCGCCGGGGTACACTCGGCTGGGGGACCGGTCCACGGTGGGCAGTCTCACGCCCCGCGGGGACCGGCTGCCCCCCACGTACGCGTCTCGGGACATCTCATGACATGTCACTCACGGGCACTGAAGATGTCGTCCGCGCTCCACTCTTGCACTCTACTTTCCTGCCGAGCTCTGATCAATGAACGGGTGTAGCGTAGAGCGACGCGCGCAACGCACACGCGACTCCTACACGCATATACTGGACGTACTGTACGTACGCCCCCGCACGAGGCCGCGAACGCTCTTTTATTATTTTATTACGATGAATTTTCTAAAAATCACCCCCCTTTTTTACTGCTTTTTTCGAACCTCGGAAGCCATCATTGCTGATTGCATTTACGAATGTTGGTTACTGCCCGACAACTAAATTAAACTGTTTGATTAATAAAACGCGTGCTATTTTAGTCATCAACAAAGCGCAGAAGCTAAAATTAGAAATTAAATAAAAGAACAGTGGTAAATCTCACGAAACCGACATTGCGAGGCGCGTAGCAGGATTATGTAACATGTATAGGCAGATTGCGGTTTTTGTTGGTCCACCGCTCAGCAGATGTCGGCGCCTGTTACATTTCCAAGCTGAGACAAGAGATCTGTTGTCTTAAATCACCAGGAAATCGGACAACTTTTTACAAGTTTTGGTGTACGTATTTTCATCAAGGAACAACTTATAAAAATGTTGTCGTTTGCCAGATTCATAGTACTAATTAACGACTATGGGTCATTCAAGCGCAAAATAAAATCTGTATTGAGTAAATATTTGTACCTACGTATCTACATATATCATATATAAATAGTCCAACGCACTATATATACACACATAAGTCACTAAACGTTCTGAGATATTTCATTAATTACACTAGGCTACATATTATAATTTTTGATCTCTAACATTAATAATGAAACAAGCTATACACCGTCAAATAATGTTCGTAGGCAGCAGATATGACAACTAAAATTTTCTAACACGCGTGGTTCTTTTGTTGTAGGATCTAATAATAATAATAATAATAATAACTTTATTATCCAACGAACATTGAGTTCATAGAGGACACAAAAAATTAATTACAATAATAAAATTGGTTATGAATATATGAAGTAGTTAAATTTAATGATAAAAAATCAAAATGTAAAAAGAACATAGAAAATTAATTTAGAATTTTTTTCTCTTATAAAAAATACAATGCTGTTGACACAAACAATTAAACTGTTAATTTGATATGTAATAATAATAATAATAATAATAATATTTAACATAATTTTAATGAAAACTAAAGCGAATTCGGTAAATCACTATTTGAAGGTGTACAAAAAAAATTAAATATAAAACGTGTCTAAAACGGGCCTAGCCTGTTATGCCCGCGCTACGTAGCTACCTAATTAACAGAGGGATCAAATTAATTTTGTCCGTTATAATTATCAAATTTAATTTGGAAACTTGTCACTGACTCAGCTTCAACAATACTGTATGGTAAGGCGTTCCATGGTCCGAAAATTGTTGGAGATAAAATGTTGGCTCACTGTGGAGCGAAATTTCACCTTTACTAGATTTAAAGAATGCCCTCTAGTTCTACTAAGTGTATTCAGGGGAAACAAATGCCTGATGAGCGACTGCGGATCTTTAAGCGCCCGAAAAGTTAAAATTACGTCGATCGGAAAGCGTTGGAAGACCCATCATTGCAAGTCTGTCAGCATACTGTGGCCGAATTCTACCAAATGGAATTCTTGTGGTCCTTCTTCGCACAGATTCAAATAACTCTATCTTTCGTTGAATCAGAGACCAGATGTAATTGGCGAACTCAAGTACCGGCCTGACATAACTCTTCTAGAGATTGTTAATGACAGATATGTGACTTCTCGTAAATGCTTTCCCCAAGAAATACACCATTTTGTTCGCCTTTCTAGTAGTACTCAGGGCATGTTCGGACCAAGAAAGAGTGGACGTCTACACCATCTATCAAATAGGTATGTTGGGGACTGGCGTTCCCAATGTAAAAACTCTCATTTTAGAATTTTAAATGGAAGTAACCATTCCGAGTTCCATTTGCACACTTCCAGAACTTACCTCAACTTAGATTTCAAATCGGCCGTATAAACTATAAACAGTAGTGGCCCAAGTACGGATCCCTGCAGCACACTATTTAAGACCTGTCCACAGTTACTTAATGCACCACCGACCCTCACTTTGAACGTCCGCTCCGATAAGAAAGCGTCAATCCACTCGTAAAGATGACATCAATCGAGTTTCCCAAGTCAAGTTCTTTTGTCCAGTCAGAAAGACAACAAAGAAGATTGGATATGATGGATTTGCGAGGAAGGAAACCATGCTGCTCTATTGGTACAAGCTGATGTTCAGTAAGAAATTTTATGATGGATTCATAAATTCCATGATCTTATCAACCAATGAAGTCAAACTAACAGGGCGATAATTAGTTGAACACAACTTGTCCCCTTTTTTAAAGATAGGGCGTACTATGGCTATCCTCTAGTCACTCTCGTGGAAGAAGGACTGCGTCATCAAACGACTCAGGGATTGGGAAAGAGAGTCCGCACAGTTTAGCATAACCGCGCGAGGCATTAATTTCGTCTGGATAAGGCGACTCAGTACATTTTCATTTTTTCAGTTTCGCGCAAACGGCGCTTTCTGGTAATTCAACACTGTCAAGATAAAGACTATGACTAGGTCCAGCCAATCTAGGAAGCATGTTGTTCGACGCATACGTGAATGCACTAGAAAAAGTTTGTGCAAAAATATCAGCCACACTAGCACAATCCTCGATGATATGACCCTTTTCATCTTTTAATTGTGGAGTGGTAACCGAGCCAGATATTTGATTCCGAACATGTTTGTAAAAACGTTCAGCTTCCTGCTGATCAGCAATGCGTCTCTCATAGTCATAAGCAATGCGACCATTCTTAATTGTGGTTAAGAGCCGATTTGAGAAGTTTCTATGAATTTTGTACCCACTTTCGCTGCCCGTTCGTTTAAAACTCCGCCATAGTGCTCGTTTAGTCCTCACAAGTTTTAAAATCTTTGCAGTAATCTATGGTTTGGTTGAAAATCAGGAAAATCTTTTTACATTGATAACAGCGGAATGTGTCGAAGTACATTTTTAAACACTTGCCAGTTTTGTTCAATTGATTGATCAGAGAATAAAGTGAACCAATCCACTTTTTTGAGGTCTTCATTAACAGATTTATAGTCTGTAACAGTTCTCAAAAATGAAACCGTTCTTTCTCTACGAAAGGTACAAATCTGCATATTGACTTTGAGAGCTACATGGTCAGAGTTACCAACTGGATCAAGATACTCTAGATTAGCTAGTGAATCGTCGTCAGATGAATAATTAAGTCTAGAGTTGATGGTTGCTGATCGGTTCGATACCTGGTAGGTTGATCTACTAATTGTATTAAGTCTACAGCTTTTTAAATGGAAATATTTACTAACTCGAAAGGCTCACTCAACTCAATAATTGTTATAATAGTGTCGAGTTTACTTTAGCGCTATAAACGTAACGAAAATCAGGTTTGGTGGAGCTTTTGTCCGAGAAGTACGTTTCCACTCACTGATTTGGTTCAGTTAAAAAGTGCGCAACATTTGTGACAAAATATAACCCATCGAGACATCACAGACATCTTATAGACCACTATTGTTATAGGTAAAGAAACATGCTGTGCTTATATTTCAACTGAGTGTTTTTATAATAAAATTGTGTGATGACATCATCAATTTTCTAGCAGGCACACATACCAATATAAGCAATTTTAAAAAATAATAACGTATTGATAAACCATAACTGTAAACGCATAATTTTTTGCACATATTAGATAAGATTTATACAGTAAAATTTCGCAATGACGTCATCAAGTTTTTGTAAGGGAAAAGCGGGCAAGTTTTGATTAGTAATTTACGATACCCTTAAAAAATTATAAGATTTTAGAGCATTAGTTTGCAGTTTTTAGGTGAAATTGTAAATGTTATTTGTTTTTTCAAAAAATTATTTTCTCTTAAAAATGTCATTTACCTTCAGAATTGCCAGCAGTAGAATTTGCATTTATTTATTTAGCAAAAGGAAGAAGGGGAAATTCACCATCTTATCACCCTACGTTCCCGCGCAAAGTCATTGTATATGCCAAGCTTCAGGGGACAAATATAGGTCATTCTAAACGATGCTACAAAGCTGCCGGCGTCAACTGTAATTATTATTATTAATTAAACATAACGACACTAACTATCGTATATTCCCCATCTATGATAACCAATTCTATTTCAACTGCCATTAAACTCGTCATATAGCGAATCAGTACCCCTCCGATGCCATAAATAATACAAACGAACTAATTTATACTAGGCAAGTTACAACTTCTTTACTCTCTAGATCTGAAAGAGTCAGCCGCCTCATATCAACAACTTTAGCGTCAACAAACCCAAAAACCAGATGAACCGGCAACCCGCAATTGCTTCTGAATTTATTTGTAACAAAAAACCTCATTACCATCACCCTAGCTAAGTGAAGCATTCACTCTCGACCTTTCTCTCCACGAAAAAAATCCAACTCTAAAGACTGAATGAAGTTAGGTCAAGCGACTCAACAGAAAGTTTGATAGGAACATTACAAATACTGGAACTACTTAAAATACTGTGGGAAAGTCCGGAAGTTACAGTTCCAGTAAGTTTTGAACAATTAATTAAATCGATGAAGAACATTAACTTTAACATGGCGCTTTATTTTTTTGTGGCCTGAACCTTCCTGTTTTTTAAGGCACTCACCATTCTCGAAGAAACACTTGGATATTTCGTATTATTTTGACGCTGAAACTAAATGAGTTACACATTTAAATTTAAAATCTGTCTGTCTGTATCTGTAGGAAAAGGGCGATAGAGATACTTGAAGTGTGGAGGTCCCAAGTATTAGTCTATTGGAGATTTCAAGATTTCCAGCTTTCTTTGTTTTATCTAACAAATCAATTGGAATCTCCTTGTGGTTAGAACAATTCAGCTTCGGAAAATTAGAAAGGGAGTTAAATAGCTTTGGGAAAAATTAATAGTAAGCATAAGTAAGGTTGGAGGTATAATCCCGCTTAAATTTCCACGAATTCAACACACGTTGTTGGAGATTTGCAAGGTAAAACATTTTGCAGTCTACAGTGATTAACTGATATTTTAAGAAGGAAGCTGATGCAAGTTGGCTGTGTTTGTGTTGTTTTTCAGATGATAATTTGCATTATTTAAAAATCTGTCATCGTTTCTAAACCTTAATCTGTAAACTTTACAACATATTTTTACTACCAGTATTTAAGTAAGAGGATTTGAGTAATATATAGAAATTTATTTGCAGTTTTACAAAGCTTAAAACACATTACGGTATAGGAATAATGCTGACGTAATAAATAAATTATCAATTATTGCGCAATACCTATAAACCTAGGTTACGTTAGTTTGTCAAATATTACATGCTTTTCTTTGTAATCCTATATCTAATTCGACGTAAAAATCTGTACAAATTCGATAGTACATAGTCAGTATTCAAAGAGTATTATATACATCAGAAACATCGGCAAACTTTAAATAGCAATTATTCATGGTAACTTACAAACAATGTAGTACGATGCATTACTAAATGTTACTGATCATTAACGATAAAATTCACACAAAACTCGAGTATTAAAAGCAAAATAATTATTTGCAAGTATATTCCTCAGTTCTTTCACTACAAGTGTCACAATCTACGTAGCAGCACCAGTGAAATTTACATCTGCACTGCCAAGTTCTGGTGTACTGGTGTGTATTATATCCTCTTCCACAGCACATAAGGTCGCAGCCATCGTTTCCTGATAACAAATTAAGATCATACACTGGAAAAAACATATAATTTAACTCTATAATTACCTCGTGAGGTTCGGTTGCACGTTCTTCCAACCGTTCCTAAAGATCCAGCCGCCAAATCCCGTTCACAATAATTAGGAGATGTTTGAATGAACACTAAATCCGATTTTTTTGGTGTTTTCTTGATCGCCATTTTTCCTTTCTTTAAAACTAAATGTATTTTTCGCGGCCTTCTATACGAATCAATTCCTCTTGGACCAGGAGAAGATGAGGCCGACGTTACAGGTCGCGCTCTGTAGTATTTCTTCATCAGATTATCACCTACTTGCCTAAAGCCTGGGAGAGTTTTCCAACAAGTCTTCATCGTACAGCTTCCGGAAACCCCGTGGCATTTGCATTCAGTCAGAAGGCTCATTTTTACCGCCTGAAATAATATATTTGTGAATAGATGACGTTTTTTTTTCTAGGTAATTTTACAGCACGGCACACAATGCTTGAGGTTGTATAAGTACCAAGTAATTTGCAAGACTCAAGTCTGAAAATGTAACGACTTGAGGCTACTGAAGTAACTACATTGGTATGTTTATACCTCATTATGGGTTAGTAATAGTAGATGATTTATGTAATCCAGCGATTGTCTGGGTAGCAATTTATAAAATTAGTTTGTGGATAATAAGTATGTGGAGGTCTAAAAACAACGAATATCAGTATTTACTTCTCGTTGGAATTTAAATTGTTCCCCACAATACCATTTTAATTCCTAGTAAAAAATCTCTTGTTATTTAAAAATGTTGAGTAGCTATTGTCAAGCTAATTCTAATATTTGTCAAGTGTTTTGAACATTTTGACAAGATAAAATGATTTTTTAGATGGACTATGTTTTAAGATTCTCTTTTCGTATTAACGACATCAACATTCGCTTTTTTTAATAACAGCCATCTGCTGTTTAGTGTGGTCAATGAAGAGGAGAACTAAACCAGTAATTATAAGTGTTACAAAAGTACAAAACTAAAATTGGAAAAGAAGTGTTTTCAATAAAACCGGTCACTGTACAAAATGTAGTTAAAATTATTCCATGGGTTTCGAGAAATTTACAAAATTCATTTACAACTTTTTTTTGTAATTTTTGCTTTAATTTTTTGTCATTTTGTCCTGTAATTGGAATTTGTTTCTGTTGGGCAAATATACTATTATTATTATTATTATAAAAAAAGCAGCAGTTATATTTACTCTCATAACTCCTTAACTTGATTTCCCTATTACGTTGTTGCAAAAACACAGACATCACAGTTTCAAGTTGTAGTTAATTATTATCAGTGTGATAATTTAAGAGATTAGCTCTTAAAATTTCACAGAGCCAGAGACTTCTGTCTTTCCCTTTCCCACTGGAAAAGGAAAAATATACATTTTCGTTTTTCCCGAATTGTGAACGAACAAGAATACCTATATGAAATTGAATATTCAAAATTATTTTATAACAATATGACCCTGAGTAATGATTGAAAAGTGAAAAATAACGTTATACCAAAGAAAATAATCCGCTTTTACATAGAACATGAAAAAGTATTTGCCTGTCGTCTGTTGACTGTAGATGTTATTTTATTAGAGAAGAAATTTTTAAAATTACTAAGTAAATATTTATGAAATTTTAGCCATATTTTTAACAAAATATTATAAAACGTTATGTAAAATTTATTAATACATTCATATAAAATTTTATGATTTCTTAATTATTCAATCTTAATGTTTTCATTCCGCGCTAATGTAGGTGTTGATATATCCAAATTTTTGGAAAGCCAATCTCATTTGAAATTTTCAATATAAAATTCCCAGAATTACACTAACAAACTGGGCTTATTTAATTGACTGTGGTTCAGACCCGATAGAAATTTAGTATGAACAATTTTAGATCAATTTTCATTAGTTGTTCACAGTAAAGTTCTAAAATTTGGAGCTAAAAGTTTATACGAAACCTTAGTGGTGGTTAGGAAGATTGCGACTTTTCAATTACGGGATATTTTTCTGTTTACTAAAAGTGTACCTTTCCTAGCGTAAGTTAAGGAAGTATTGTAACAGTGTCCGTCCGTTAAACGGCGACTTTCATGTTTTCTCGACGTTTTATGGCCACAAGAGGATGAAAAAATAGGTCACCGGTTTCTTATCTGTTTATCTGTCGCCTGTCCGTGTCGTTTATCATTTGTACTCGGTATGCCGTCTGTCGTCTGTGTCGATATTTATTAGACATATAATCTCTAAACTATATAAACTACTGGACTGATTATTGTCAAATTTTATAGGTATTTTAGGATTATCGTATATATAACGCTAACTAAAATTTAGCTGATCATCGTCACCAACAACTTGACGACTTGACCTCAAATAGTAAATGCTATTTAAATTTTATAGAATAACATGCTATTGTACTTGGTGATTTATAAATCCGCCTTGAGTTTTAACTCCAGACATCAAATTTGCGCAAAAAACCCAAACTCTATAACAAACTTTTATAAGCGACGTCTCATGGGTCTTTCTTTTTTTTAAGCGCTGTTACTACTATTAACCTATTTTTTTATGTATAGGGGTTATCACAAATGAGATATCGCCAAATCAAATTGTATAATTTTTTTAAAGAAGCAAGATTTGTTGGATTGTACTGTCGAATAACATTCGACCATTTTTTTCTCTTGGATTGATCAACTTCTTTAAACAGAAATTTGAGACATTTTCACTTTTGTTATTGTAGTTTCCAGGTGTGAAATTCTCACACTAAAACTCATTTTTTATCTTTGACTGCAAAAATCAATAAAGATACTAATCAAATTTCCAATATGTCAAAAATTTTATAGTTATGAAATTTTAAATACGCATTATAAATTAATGAAGCAGTTAATTTGATTACATATCAATTTATGATCTTGAAAAAGAAACAATTATCACAAATTTATGCAGTCTAGGATATAAGAAATTTTATGGCACGAAAGGTTAATTTGAATCACCAATAAAATTTGTAGTAGATTTTTTTAGAGTATCTACCGTTCAATAAAACAGATATTTATAGAGACAACCGTCCGTGTTAATTTTCCAATAAACAACACGTATAATTTTTTGTGGATGGTTTAAGGTTATTAAAAGCGACGAGTCACTTTTGGAGATCAGATGCCAAAAATAACATCTAACGACTGTTAAAGAGTTCCATAAGACTGTAGTTTTCCATGCGTTCGCCTTTGCCTTTGTGGCAGTTGTAGCCTTTGACACAAATCAGAAGTTTCATTTTCCACAAATTACAGTGCTTATATTCGTTTATTTATAGCTCCTATCAGGCATAAACTTTTTTTTGTTACATGATATAAGTATTTTGGTTTCTTATGTTCAGGGATGTTGAAATGATCAAATCAAAGAAATACTTCTTGTTGGTTACTGGTTTGTTTTCATTGTTAATAGTTAAAAGCTATTTTACAACCAGAAACATTTAAGTCAGCAGAGACTGCTATTAAAATTAAGACGTATGTTGTCGTGAATTCTAACACTGTCCAAATAAGGGTAACTGTAATTATCTTAATTTGAACCCAATTATAATTTAGTTGAGTTTTGTATAGTCATTTTCATTTAATTGTTATTATATAGTGCTATTAATTTATCAAAAAAGCAAAAACCGAAAACAGGATCGAAAACGAATTATTGCTTTAAATTAAGTACAAGACAGAAAACTGTTTCTGGAAATATCAACTATGGACGGCGTGGGTTCGTTACTAAGAAAAACATTAACACATTTAATAACACACTCTGGTAAAAATTCATATGGTGTTATTTCCATCTCTGTCATGGTTTCTGAATTTGATTTATCTGTGTTCTGTACTAAATTCGAAGTTTTCAATTATACAACAGAACAAATTTATTAATTTGTAATTTAATATACTTATAATAGAAATGTATCCAAGTGCAGTGTAGCGCTTGGTAAAACGAAACGACTTTTTTAGATATTCCACCACTTCGATTTTGAGACATCTATATATTTTCGCACTCTAGACGTTAATTGACAGGTCCTGAATAACCTGCTGGTTAGTCCGCAGCAGTGAGGTATGCTGGCAGCCACAAAAACGAATCTTTTGGTTTTCTATAAGTCAGGACAAAAAATGCTCCAGACACAAACCTTCCTCCCAGCTTTATTGTTATGGAGATTCATCAGACTTCTTTCGTCTCCTTCGAGTTCGCGAGCGTCCATGAATTTTCGGGCAAATTTCATTCCGAAATTGATGTCTACGCTACATCCGCCCCATTTCCAGCCAGATGGTGCTGGTTCTCGGGGTTTTGGACCTGGGGCACAACCACACGCAGATATGTTGCCTCTAGCACACGCCGATGTGACAGCGTAGGCCACTCCGGCACTAGAAATCGCATACGTGAAAGCAGCTTCTCTGGAGCCTGAAACCGATAAAATGTGTGCATTAATTTCTCATAAACATCAAAGGTATCGCGGTTATTAAAATATTAACATTTAAATTAATAACTATGGTTATTTGGTATAATTAATATTAATTATTATATCTCATTAATGGGAATGGACTAGAAATATTTGTCTAATCCTCGTTTTGGAATATAAATTATTCTGACCTTTGAAATTTGGTTTTATGGTGTACTATAAAACCAAAGCTTTCTAGGAAAATTAGGCATTAAAATGTAGTTTTTTTTTTGCTCCAGTTATAAAATTCAGGCTATTTTTAAGGAGAATGAAGAGATTAACATGCAATTTGTCACATTTATAGTGATTGTATAACTTATTTTTCCATTATAGCAAAATCTGTTTTCATATGATTCAAATTATCACCGATTTAATAATTGTGAAAATAGACGGATGGATAAAAAATAGCATATCGAAAAAATATTTTTCGAAAATTTTTTTCAAAAGAAGGAATACTTAATTGTTAAACACTTGTATAGAAATAATTAGTAAAATGTGTTTTTCTTTATAATATTTTAGAAGCTTTTATCTAAGCAACGAACTTATTTAATTATTATTTAAGATTTTAACTCAAAATTGGTAGTTTTTATTACATTAAAAAAATAAGTTTTCGCTTTCGTTGAAGTCACATTTATTATTATTTGAATCTCTTATGAAAATACAAATTTTAAAATTAATTTTTATATAGTGGTACAGACTAACAAGGTAAAATTATTTAAGTCATATGAAATTGGTGGAGTAATCTACAGTTAAAAATAAATTTATTTATCAATTTCACAAATGTTGGTTTCGTAAGAAGTTGTAAAAATCAACAGTTTAGGCAGTATTTGGAAAACCAAATTTTTTAAACCTCTTCTACTCCACCTGAAGACGGCTCTGTTTAAATTTTCAGTGTGATTTTGATACCAAAATTTTTATTTTCTGGCTTGGAAAAATGTATTAATACTGACTAACCAAATTTATAAATTTAGTTTTCCAATTAATTCTTCGATGTACGTACCGTTTATTAAATAAAATACACATTTACTCTCATAAAGTGGTGTAAAGCAATAAAAACATTTCTTGCATATTCGTTTGTGGAAAAGTTGGTTGTTTATTTTTCTCTATATTAAGAACATTGTAAATTTACAAATATTAGTTCAAGATGTCTTCCAAAATCGTTTAGTAGCTGAGAAAAGTTTATTTATTAAACTTCATTCAATAATTTGTCTTTACTAAAACCAACAACTGAAGTTAACATAAATGGTTTTTATTCTATTTTAGAATCATAATCTTGTTTATAAGTACCATACGCGGGCATAAATTGGCCTTTATGGCACAAATCAGTCAAAAATTGCTAAGCAACGATTAATTATTCATTTATATTAATTAATTATTCAACATTTTATTAAAGTTAAGAAAATAACTTTCATCAAATCATTCTCTGGCCGACTTCAAATTCTTCTAAAATTTTTTTTGAATAAACTTTTTCCACTTTGCATTTTGAACGTGATATTCATAATAACATCAAAATAATAGCCAGCTATGTATTAAAATTCGGATCGGTACAATTCACACAACCTGCTGGAAATACTCAATATTTCGTTAAAAATATTTTGGAAACTAAAATAGAATAAAACGTTGTATTTACCACCAATTGTCGATTATGGCTCACGGGAAATTAAAAGCCCTGCCTCGTCCGGCTTTAAACATTCCCTCATCTCCCTAGTTATGCCCTTAATACATACATAACTATTATTTTCTATTTTTTGGCACAATTTGGACAATCATTCGTCAAAAATCTGCTACAGTCGGTTCTTAATTTCCACCAACGCATCGCCTTGAAATTCAAGAAGTACGAAGTAAATATGCTTCAAAACTTAAGAACTTTTTAAAATTTCTCTTTGTTTATCTTAAAATAAATGAAATTATGTATAAGACAATAACAGTTGTGTATTCACATTAACCAATTTTGTTGTCACGACAATTTGACGTTTAGGCTTGTATTATCAATTATCATTCATCATGTGTTCTCATAAGTGTAGGAGCCGGTAACCAGTATTGCTTTTACGAATTACGATCTTCCAAGAGTTATTTTCATAAGATAATAAATTATGTGTCTTGCTTTTGTAATTTTCGTTAGCAGTTATTAAGTGGGGATTTTGACTGCATTGTCTGTATCATTTTAAATTGACAACGATAAGATTACGAAAAATGTATTACCAGAATTCCAAAAGTAATAATACAAAGCAAGTAAATCCATGCAATGAATAATCAGCCACTGAAACCATAGAATTCCATTTCATTGCAAGTTTAAAAATTGTAGTAGTAGTAAAATACACATTTAAAATGAGAATGTGCAAACTAAGTGTCAACAGACACTAGAATGTTTAAGTACAGCAAGTAGTGCTTTGTTACATCCAGCGCTAGAGGTAGTTTTAATTAATTGTCTGCAACATTTTGCAAACAATATGTCTGTGTAATTATTATAGGAATACCAAAAACTGCCCTGTCATTTTACCTTTCATAATCAGGCAAAAGTGACGAGTGATGACTGTTACTATTATAATTAAATTTGCAGTACTGTAATCGATGAAAGTTTGAGAACCGTCAGAGACTTTTCATCTTATTTCTATCAGTTGACAGTACTCAGTTGTTCTCTGTAATTAACTACAGTCATTCGGATGTTTCTTTGTTTTGGCTGCACTAAAACTGAAACAGTTTAACAAAGAAAGTACTACAACAAAAGGATAATTTTAAATAAGTAGATATAAACCAGATAAAACGTTATTTCTTGTCGTGTATGTTGTCAATCTATAATTCGATATGGATGTTTGGGTGGAATAAAGAGTGACGCAAGTTTTATGGTTATTTTTTGTATTAATATCAAAAAACACTTTATAAAGCTATATTTTTAATTTGTTTAACTGAATTTTAATTTTCACGTACGTCATATATAAAAAAGTTACATTGAATAAGGTCACTTTATGTAATTTATTCCATTTAGTATAAAATGTTAGTTCTGCTATAAAATATTTTATTATTTTATTAGAAAATGCATAATTTTATTTGAAATATTAATCTGTTGTTTATAACAAGATTTATTTACTCGTGTAGTTTGCCTTGTATTTTAGTAATTAAAAAATTCCAATTCGTAAAAGCTTAATTGTATTTATGTGGATCGTAAAAATATGTAGCAGCAAATTTATACTGTTTAAATATTTAATATCTTGCCAAAAAGCTCACCCAGCAGTAAATTGAGCCGATGGCATAGCAGTTTTGTAATAGCGAGTAACACAGAATGGCTCATGAGCTTTTTAATTGTCACTAAAATTTTTTAGTGTGTTTATTTTCTAAAAATTTTTCTCCAAGTCAGAAGGTTTTGAACTTATTGCTTTCATAATTTGATTTCAGTTATATGTTCTTTAAAGTAACAAAGCTTCTTAAACTTCACTTTTAAATCCTGAAACAAATTTTCTACTAAACATTTTTCGTAATATTAGGAAGCAGCAATGAAAATACAAAGGGATGTGGTAAAATTTTTAAAAGTTCGAGTAATATACTGTTATACTTATAAACATTTTCGCGGAATAACCGACTTCCAAATTCCTCCGTGATGCACATTTTTCTCGTCAAAGAATGTTTGTGTAAAGCTTGAGAAAAGTGATTTTGAATTTTGGTACTATACAGTTTAAAACAGAACTCTTCCGTACTACTCTTTCTTATAAAATTATTTGTTTCATGGTTGCTGAAATTTATTCTCTCAGCATCAGCGTGAACCCCTACCACGTGAGTCAATTAAATAAATAAAATTTGTAATGAATTCGTTGTCAGTTTGATTTTGCAAAATTTATATTATTTTCAATTAAAATTATGAATTATTATACAACATTATTTTCACGCTAGGTATTGAGAGAAGGCAAGACATATTGCTTGAAATTGTTAGAGAGAAACTCCACTGCAATGCGACTTTATTAGAGAAATTATTATTTGTTATGCAATAAAACTCTATGACGGATTTATGTTTTCCAATAAAAACAAAATAAATTTCAAGTAATTAAACTGACAATGAAGAATGAAACTTGTATTTCGAATGACTGGTTAATAAATTTTTAACAGAATTTTATTATTTTCGTATTTATTAACAAACTAAGGAGAAAAAGCCACTAAGAACGTTGGGAATTATTTATAATTTTCCATTTTTTTCTTTGTTACTTTACTCTCGATTAATCAGTGGAGAAAATATAGACTCGCTTAATCAAATTCTAGGATATAAATCATATGTTTCAGAATCAAATAATCACCCTACGCGCAATTCTTATTATCACGATGAAAATAGAAATCACGAGTTTACGTAATATTTCCCCTTATACCTATAGCAATTATTTGCCAAGTTTTTAAAGAAGACTAAATGGTATCAGATCATAATGTTTCGTCAGTAGATCATTAGGCAAGTTACCGCGGTTCATTTAACATAATCTTTAAATTATTGTCTTAAATGTCAATTTTGCTATAAAATTATTATATTATTTTATTCAAAAAAATGCATATTTTTTAAATATTAATTCGTCATTTATGTGACAATATATTTGTCGCGTAGTTTGCCTTGCCCACTCAATAACTCTTACTTAAAGTAATTAAGAGCATTCTATCCTTGTGAGTGTTAATATTAATATCAGTCACCAGAAAATGATAAAAATGAAAAGATGTCATGTATGTGATCAAGTAGTAAATTTTCGGATTAGCATATCACATCAATTGAACGGGTAGATAAGAGTTGTGGGCCGCAGTTGCGACAATTAACAACCAAACACATCAGTGATAATTACCCGAGTAACAACTTCATTAGCGTTATTAACGACATTTACGCACGAGGCTCCATTTAACTAAATTATTTAGCATTCATCAAACGTGCGAATACTGATGAGCTAAAATACGTTAGAGACGAAAGATGCTCGTCTGTATAGTCTATATTCAAGGAAGA